CTTTAGGTTGGTGTTGTTCGTCGAATCAGTCAGCCTCACCTGTTAATTGAGCTGATTGTAAACCGACACATACGTACTGCCTTCAGAACGGGTTCGCTCAAACTGTTGTGGTTCTTTCCTCAAAAGGCCACTACAGAAAGAACTTGCACGGTTCTCACACATAGTCTTTTATACATATTTGTCTAGACTTAAAAGAGACGGACCTCTGAGTTTGTTTCGGCATTTCTTCTCAGAGTAGTAAGTTAGGAAATGTCGACCTCATCGTTCGCTTCATAAAATTGACGTGTAAAAGTGGTGCCCTGTAGCCTATTTGCAAAAATAAATTCAATTTTTTACTATTAATCACCAAGCTTACTCAATGCGGGTTGATGATTTCAAACTTATAATTAGAAATTGTTCAGGATTCCTCACGATGTTTTCCTTCACCGTTTGTCAGTGGTGTCTAAATAATCTTAGAAAGTACATACTATATAACTCGGAAAAAGTCACATTGGTACTTGCCGTTGGTAGGTTTTGAAACCGCACCCTCGTGTATGAGAAGTAGGCATCTTCAATCTCCGGGCCACTACGATAATCAAATTTTTGAATACCTCAATTAAATTGAAAAACTTTTTAAAATGTCTTCTAATTGACAAACTTGTAGCACGATAATCATACAAATCGGGTCATCTGTAAACATTTCCGGAATGTATATTAATTATAATTCTATTTGGATAAACTTTCTTAATTAGAGTTGCCAACGGAGACGGATGAAACCATCGCGAGGATTTAATAATTCAAGTTTGTAAGATATTTGTGAATTTCACTCCTCTCACAATTCGTATATAAATAATTACAGTAAATGTATATTATATAATTAGTATACTAACTCTGTCTGCGACTTTATTCGAGTTATCTAAACAGAGAAATAAAACTGGAGTGTCTGTCTGAAACCGTTTTTTATTACATCCATATTAATATACATACGATAAATATACCACAATAACATTGTTTTTAAATTTTTGTCTGTCTGTTTGTATTAGCTAAAATCTGCAATGGTTGGACCAATTTTGATGAGATTTTATTGGCAGTTAGCATATGTACTAAAGAGTCACATAGGCTACTTTTATTTTGGAAAATTGAAACAAAAAAAAGTTATGTCCTAAAATTCATATTCTACGCGGACGAAGTCGCGGTTTAAAGCTAGTATATTATATAATCGTCGTGTGTCACCTATCTATATACATATATCTACTAGCGGACCCGACAGACGTTGTCCTGCATATCCACTCGAAGGTATACACAAAAATTCATTCAAATTAGTTCAGCAGTTTAGAATAACTAACCTAGACACCGACTGCAGCGCCATCTGCCGGACTGATTTGTGAATTTAAACCATTCCCAGATCCCTTTGAATACACACAAAAAATTTCATCAAAATCGGTCCAGTCGTTTGAGAGAAGTTCAGTTACATACACACTCACAGAAGAATTATATATATAACTAGTGACCCGCCCCGGCTTCGCACGGGTGCAATATGCATGTATTATACATACAAACCTTCCTTAAGAATCACTCTATCTATTAAAAAAAACCGCATCAAAATCCGTTGCGTAGTTTTAAAGATCTAAGCATACATACGGACATACAGCGAAAGCGACTTTGTTTTATACTATGTATTGAAGATAAAATTAATACCTTTTTTCCTTGGTCACGGCATCACGCGTGAATAGCTGAAACGATATCACTAATTCTTTTGTTGTTGTATTTGTTATTGGTGAAGATCTAAGAAAACAATCCAAAAAAATTAGGAAAAGGTTCTTAAACTGTCAAATACCAAGCGGTCACCGGTGACCGCAACCTATTGTTCTATAATTGTGTCTGCAAAACCGGTACTCGACGAGTTAATACAGAAAAAATCCTGAAAATCCTACGGGAACGGGAGAAGACAGGATTGCGCGTACGAGGGGCAAAAGCTAGTATGCTTATATTAAACATTTACTTGAGTAAACCGAAAGCATAAAAATTAACCTAGGTATATATATATACATACTAGCTTTGCCCGCGACTTCGTACGCGCAATACCGATATTCCCCGTTCCCATTCTTGATTTTCGGTAAAAAGTAAAAAAAAGAATTGGGCAAAAAGTATCCTATGTCCGTCTCCTGACTCTAAGCTACCTCCACACCAATTTTAATCCAAATCGATTTAGCCATTCATGAGTTATACATAGTGTAACTAACACGACTTTCTTTTATATATATAGATTTCCAAACACATCATTTCACAATTTAGGCCAGACCTTTGTTTTTTTTGGTTGGAACAACATCTTTTATATACGTACACATATACAGAACCTCACGCCTTTGGAGTAGACGAAGACAATGGAACGCCAATTGTTACAATAATTTTTGAATGCCTCAAATAATAATCTGTGCATTTAGCTAGGTACTACGTCAACCGTGCTACTGTGAAATTGCCTAATGATTTACTAACAAGTTACCACGGTGCTTCGTGATGAGTTTCATCGAGTACATTATGAACGTAAGATGAAAGAAGATATGAGAGTAAGACTATGTAGAAGGTCTATGTTGGTCTTGAGGTCAAAATCACGATGACGATTATGACGTACAAATGTATCGTACTTCTTCAGCTTCCTTGTGCATTCTGTTAAGGAGTGGAATTCTTTGCCAGAGCTTGTATTTCCTGGGTGTCTTCAAGACGCGAGTGAATAGGTTGCTTATGGGACGACGTGATCCTTCCTAGACCGCATCATCGCTTATCATCAGGCGAGATAGTAGTCAAATATCGGCTGATCAAATATAAAAAAAAATCCTGAATAATAGTGGCGTATCCTTGAACATACAAATTAAGTGTTTAGTTGATAAACTAACGGACTTTCTATTTACAATGTTAGTACGGATATTTATATGTAGGGATTAATTAAACTCAGGATGGATTCGAGGAAGCCCTTGTGTTGCGAAATTACGCCCGGTTTATGGTAGTTGGCTAGTTTCGTATCAAATGGAACTAATAATATAATACTGACACGTAGGTAGAAGTGTTGCATGTATATGTATGCCTTGTTCGCACTATGCTAGTATTTTAGTCGAGCAGCGAGTGTGTAGTGTATCTCTTTCGCTTCTGTCCCAAAATCGAAGCGAAACAGAGTTAATAAATACTCGCTACTTGACTAGAATACTAGCATAGTGTGAACAAGGCATTAGGGATTCTAGGTTGGTTTACGTAAGTGTTTTTGGGATTAAATTAATTGATGATCGTTTTAAATGAAAAAAAATAAATTATAGCCTCGTTAGCCGAGAGCTCGTAAGTGCGACTGCCCGACAAGGGGTCTTGGGTTAGATTTCCGAGTCGGGCAAAGTACTTCTGGGGGTTTAAAAAATTCTCAGTTGCAGCACGGAGTCTGCAATTGTGCCTGGTATATGTATGACAATAGGCTCACCCCCTATTACATTCTCCGGCCACCGTAAGCACGGGCCTGCGGACGGCAAACACGGGTGACTCGCCGTCTGACCAGAACCAGACCCGTACGGCGCGTCGCGTTCCACGCGCTCCTCAAAGCGCCATCAGACCATCATAGATGGGGCCCCACAGGGCTGATGCCGATTCGGAGCCGCGGAGGACTTAACGGGTTGCCGGGGCTCTGGCTTGAAGTACATGTGTAGGAACGGGCTAGTTTTTAGTCAGTAAGAGTCTGACACTCACTCTCGCCTCATCCGGGCGAGATAAGTCATTGGTTGTTTTTCCGCCCGCAAAAAATGTAAAAAAACCCTGGGACTTATTACATTGAAAAGTGAAAAGTGGGTGTTACATTTTACAGTTCGTTTTCTCTATTTCATTATTCTTACTCAACGCACACCAGCACCTATGTCTATTAATATCATAACATCAAGGTTTTCCTACAACATGCTGCCATATATATAGATGTCGACATACACACGCTGCCTTCCGCCTACAAGACCAGATTTCCTTAATTAGTTTCACTTACCCAAGTTATTTTGAACCTGCATCTGTTACGTGATAATGTGCAAACTATTTTGGTTCAGGAAATTTTAGATGTAGGTATTTAGTTTTGGTAGACATTTGTTTGTTTGTGTTATGGATCAGTTGTGTGAGTGAATATGTGTTTTTGGGAATGAAAATTGAAGTCGGTGAAGTGAATTTAAGTTAATAAGTTAATTAAGTGTTTAGGCATAGGCGTTTTCATTTTCATGAATATGTATACAATGTTTTACAATAAGTCTTTGACTATCAAAAGAAAACTATTGGAGACAAGTCCTCTACTAACATCGATCACCGGTGACGCCCATAGCGTGTAATGTGTTAATTTGTCTGCACGGTTGGTGCGGTGGCTGGGCAACCGGCTGTCGTGCAACGTGTCGCGGGTTCGATTCCCGCACGGAACAACACTTTGTGTGATCCACAAATTGTTGTTCCGGGTCTGGGTGTCATGTGTATGCGAACTTGTATATTTGTAAACGCACCCACGACACAGGAGATAATCATAGAGTGGTGAAGTGGGTGCAACGTTTTTTTTTTAATTACAAATATAAAATTACATTGACTGAGAGACTTTGTTGGATACCATTCTGTTTTAAAGGTAAAGGTACGAAAACAGTAGCTGTAACAGAAAAAAATATTAAGACATTAGTTATTGAATATTACATAAACATTAATCAGTCAACATCAGACAAAAAACGGCCTTTAACTAAAAAAAAAACATCATACAACCCAAACAAGGACGGTAAAAAAAAAACATTTAATTTTCTTTGTACCTTCGCCAAGGCCGAAACATTAATAAAAAAAATAAATGATCTTAAACATATCACTGTCGTAACACTTACTTAAAAATTCTGATAAATACACTTTTAATTTGATTTCTACGACGTCGTAATAAAAGGCTTTGCATAAATACAATGAATTTGAATTTTCTCTTCAAAACCTACAATGATTTTGAAGCCTCTCAAAACTAGTATGATAAAGAAAATCAAAGTGAAAAGATGTTGCTCTTCTACATAATCAGTGTTTTAATCAGCGTAAACGAAGCAGCGAAAATCCTAGCAGTGTTTCCAACACCGTCAATCAGCCATCAAATAGTCTTCAGACCCTTAACTCAAGAACTAGCCAAAAGAGGCCACGACGTCACGATCATAACTCCTGATCCTGCCTTCCCAAAAGGAGCAACACCAGCCAATATCACAGAAATCGATGTACACGACATTTCGTATAAACTGTGGACCGACAGACTTCTAAAATCAGTTGGTAAAGGAGAACAAAATGATCTAAAAAGTCAAATAGAAAAATATTACGCGACAATACTAGAAATAGTTCTACAACAGGTACAGAATAATGAAGTACAAAAAGTGATTAATGATAAACATAAGAAGTTTGACCTTTTGTTTCTTGAAGCCTGTGTGAGACCTGCTCTTCTGTATTCTCATATCTACAAAGCTCCTGTTATACAGATCAGTTCATTTGGTGCTATGCCTGGGAACTTAGAAGCGGTTGGAGCCCCAGACCATCCCATTCTTTATCCAAACGTATTTCGACAAAAAATTAACAATATCACAATGAGGGAGAAATTTGTGGAAATCTTCAAGTTTTATGCATTTAATATGATCCATAAAGGTTTCGAAGAAACTGAGACTGCAGCAATTAGGAAAGTGATTGGGTCTAATATGCCAGAAGTAGGAGAATTGTTTAAAAACGTTCATATGCTGTTTCTAAATGTCCATCCAGTGTTTGAAGGCATTCGTCCAGTTCCTCCTAATGTTATATACATGGGTGGTTTGCATCAAAATCCTGTGAAGGAGTTGCCAAAAGTAAGTACAGCTTAGTTTCAAATACCATTGAGCAAATCGACATTATTGGGTGAAAACTACAGTAACCTACTTTTACGTTCACCGTTTTATCAGAAAAGTAAATAAAATTGGAATTTAAAAAATATTTGCAGCGTACTAGACATTATTACAAGAGGGATATAATCATAAGCAATAAATCTTTTTGCAGGATCTCAAGTCCTATCTAGATAACTCTAAAAATGGAGTCATCTATGTAAGTTTTGGTACAAATGTGATAACTGATCAGTTACCCAATAAAGTTGAAGATATGATCAAGGTATTGTCTCGTCTTCCCTATGATGTACTATTTAAATGGGACCATGATGAACTACCTGGACGCCCCAAAAACATAAGAATTTCAAAATGGCTACCGCAATCGGATTTGCTACGTAAGTTGTTCAATTATTAGCAATTTTTTCCTCAAATTACAATTTGCAAACGGGTCGTTTGATGGTAAGAGGTAAACGCCGCTCATAGACGTCTGCAATACCAATGGAATTACAAATGCTTTGTCGGCTTTGTAAAAGGAAGTACGCTCTTTCCTGCTTTTTTAACGTGACATTCACATGTATCTCTCCTGTGTCGTTGGTGTGTTTCCAAACATACAAATTCACATACACATACTTGGATATTGTATCTGTTTGGAAAAACGAAAGTTTCTTAAGAACAGTCGCGGCCTGCCAACAATATTTGTTTCTTTGGTGATTCAGTCCGTATATTTGCCACTTATCCCATACATTTACATTGTGAGAAGAATTATACAGCAATAACAATAGTTCTTCTGTTTTAGGTCACCCAAACATAAAACTGTTCATAATGCAAGGAGGTCTACAATCAACAGACGAGGCTATAACAGCAGGAGTGCCTCTGATTGGTCTACCCATGCTAGGAGACCAATGGTTTAATGTGGAACGATATGAGTATCATGGAATAGGAATCAGAATTGACTGGGAAAGTTTTACTGAAGAGAAATTTGAAAATGCTGTTAATAAAATAATTGGGGATCAAAGGTTTGTGTTCGATTGTATTATGATTCTGGAATGAATTTTTAGAGTGAACGTGTGTGCAATTTCCATCGTAAATTAATCATTGGTAACGCTATCTATGGATAACCACAAATTCTACTATATGTTCTTTTTAATTAAGAATATTTATTTTAGCAAAATATGGATAAGAGCTTTTGTTGTTACATATGAGACGTAATGTTAAAACACTTCGTTTATAACGAAAATAGACGTATCTTCTTGACAATTGCCTGAGGGTGGAACATGAAATTGTACAATTTCTTCATAAAGAATTTTCTTTTTCGTTCATTATCTTTTATTTACTAACTTTGCTTGAATTAAAACTTCATATTCTTTCCAGATATCGTCAGAACGTTATCAAGCTTCAAACCTTAATTCACGACCAACCAATGCGTCCACTAGAGCGCGCTGTGTGGTGGACGGAGCACGTGCTGCGTCACGGCGGCGCGAGACATCTGCGTGGACCTGCAGCCAACATGTCGTGGGCAGAGTACCATGAACTAGATTTAGTCCTCATCTTAGTAACCAGCGTATTAATTTTAATATTTATATTCATAGCACTTGTTTATGTTTGTATAAATTGTGTAACTTTAAAGAAACTCAAGGCAGACTGATGAATAAACATTGATATTAATCATAAGTTTACGAATCAAACGCTTCGGTGTGAGGTTGTTTGGAATTTTGATCGAGTATTAGAATTATTGTTGTATTTTGTTTGCCTGTGTTTAAATTGAGGTGTAGATGAGCGGAACGGTGAGGAGTCGTGCTGAAATCTAGCAGTCAAAGCGTAATATACTGGCTTTGTAGCAGATAATTGGTACTTCCTCATTGGCCGCGCGGTCGTAAGTGCGACTGCCGGACAAGGGGTCTTGGTTTCGATTCCCGGGTGGAGCAAAGGATTACTTGGTTTATTAACTCGTTGAGTACCGTCATTATAGACACAATTAAAGATTTTTTTTTAAGGGGGGAAAATCATCGAAAGACTGCTCCCGCCTGGATGAGGCGGGAGGGAGTGTCAGACTCTTACTGACTAAAAACCACCCCATTCCTTCTCCTGCACGTTGAGCCGGAGCCCCGGTTACCCGTTAGGTTCTCCGCGACCGTTAGGTTCACCACGACAATTAAAGAACAATAGGTTTCGGTCACCGGTGTCCTCGCAGTGTTTGACAGTTTAAAAATAATCTCAATACTAGTAACCTCTCACCCCCTATTACTTGGGACTCATAATATAAATAGTGAAAATTGGGTGTTACATTGTACAGTGGCATAATGTGCACCTCTGCCTACCCGTTAGGGGATAAAAGGCGTGATGTTATGTTATGTTATGCAATCTCAGTCGAGTCTGGAATTGTAACCGGGATATGGCCATAGGCTCGTATTACACGGGACTCATAACATAAGTACTGTAAAGTGGGTTACATCGAACAGTGGCATTAAGTGGCGTAATGTGCACCTCTGCCTTCCCCTTCGGGGATAGAAGGCGTGATGTTTATGTTACGATTACTTTTGCTAGTTAGACGTTATTAAATATCATCGTCAAATATTCACCGTTGACACACCGACCGCATCAATGACTTCTAGTTCAATATCATATAAATTAACATGTGAATTTATTTGTAGACTAGCCACTTCCGCGTGGTTTCATTCGCTCTGCTCGGCGCCTATTTATCGTAGCGTGATATTTTAGCCTATAGCCTTTCTCGATAAATGGGCTATCCAACACAGAAATAATTTTTCAAATCGGACCAGTAGTTTCGGAGATTAGCGCGTTCAAACAAACAAACAAAAAAACAGACTCTTAAACTTAATAATATTATTAGTATACTAGCTTTTGCCTGCGACTTCGTCCGCGTGGAATAGTGACTTCCGGCAGAAAAGTATAGATAGCTGTGCCCGCGACTCCGTCAGCGTGTAACTCTTGTGTATTAAGTTAACGAATGGAGTAACTTCTCCCGTTTTCCCAATATTTCCCTTCACTGCTCTGCTCCTATTGATCGTAGCATAATGAAAAGTATACTATAACCTGCCCAAGAGTATAAAGAATAATTGTGCCAAATTTCGTTAAAATCCGTCGAGTAGTTTTTGTTTCCATAACGAACATACAGACAGACAGACAGACAGACAAAAATTTTTCTGATTGCATTTTTGGCATCAGTAGCGATCCCTAACCACCCCTTGATAGTTATTTTTTAAATATATTTTATGTACAGAATTGACCTCTCTACAGATTTATTATAAGTATAGATTAGTATTACCAAGTATTAGTATATTAGTATAGATAGATACTGTATGTGTTTACAAAACAGACTGTTTCATATTGGAATCGTTTGAAAATAGATACAAATCGTTGTAGCTCAATCGCATGTGAAATGAGAATGAATTTTTTTATCAATATCTTTCAGTGCCAATATTTTAATCAACTCAATCGAATATTCTTAATATTAATCTTCTCAAATACCAATGGATTTCTCTTAGAGAACTGAATAAAGGAATTTTTATGCCAATTTTTCCAGATAAACAATTTGTTACGCGAAGTTTGGAATAAAAGTTTTTTTTTTAAATAATTCAATGAGTTAGAAAATTGTGTATTGTGAATTTTTATTGAATATTTTTTATTAAATGTAGCTTCATTGTTTACTAATTTGTGTTAGAAGAATTAAATTTCGTAATTGATTAATTTAGTTCTGACATTTATCTCTTTATAGCCATGGTCTTCATAGTATAGGACAAAGGTAGGCAGAGGTGTACATTACAGCACATAATGCCACTGTACAATGTAACACCCACTTTCACTATTTATGTTATGAGTCCAATGTAATAGGGGGTGTGACTATTGCCATATACCGCGCACATTTCCAGACTCCGTGCTACTACTGAGACTTTTTTAAAACCCAGTAATACCGGCCGATCCGGGAATTGAACTCGAAATCCCTTGCCCGCCAGTCGCACTTGCGACCGCTTGGCCAATGAGGCAGTCTATTTAAGTACAACTTAAAATTGAATGGTCTTTCAGTATGATTCGAAGACTTTTTTTAACAAGGACACCGATTGCGTCCTCAATTCAAAGTTTGATTATGGGAATATAAATAGAATTTTGAATTAACTTTTTAATTTGTTTTCGATGACGATTGTGATCTGAATGTTCATATTCTGTTAAAGTTAAGGGAGATTTTTTTTTAGTTGTTTTGATTTCTTATATTTGATGGATTGTAATGAGAATTTTCCAAAGATATAAATATTTTCATGGAAAATAACTCTGTCTTCCACGATCTAAATCGTATAAGGACTTTTCTAATCAGAAGTCATTAAAGAGACAAATTCTCAGTTGGAGAACCGAACACATTGCTCAACAATTGCATTAAAATTTGATCATAAAACACAACATTACACAGGCATATTTTTTAAGGACCTATACGACATTACACCTGTCTCTCATGAGGGTACCTAGGTACATTTATAAAAAAGTACTATACCATAATATGACGGTAAATACTTACATAATAACATAACATCACGCCTTTTATCTTCGAAGGGGTAGGCAGAGGTGTACATTATGCCACTGTACAATGTAACTAACACCCACTTTTCACTGTTTATGTTATGAGTCCCATGTAATAGGGGGTGAGCCTATTGCCATATACCGGGCACAATTCCAGACTCCGTGCTACCACTGTGATTTTTTCTTAAAACCCTAGGAATACTTTGCCCGACCCGGGAATCGAACCCGAGGCCCCTTGCCCGGCAGTCGCACTTGCGACTACTCGGCCAATGAGGCAGTCGGTAAATACCTACTTACTTTTAAAAAAAATATCAAATGACCTTGAGCAAGTTACACGTGCCTGGCTCTTTGCCCAAACTGACCAGAAGACTCCAAAATAAAGCCTTCATAATGCCAAGAGATCAGAAATCCATCGACCATACAATTGTAGCTATTCACAACATTAGTTATGGTTCCTTTCATAAGCCAGACACAAGTGCGAAGTAAATTAATCCTTCGGGCTTTTGTATTAACGTCAACCCTTTTCAAGTGACCGACTCAGGTTCCCGGAGACTCGGAGACACATGGTATTGACAAATAGAGAATGGTTTATAAATTACCTTTGGATTCTGATGATAGAATTTTTTGGTAGGATAGAATGTATAATATTATTAACAAATCTTATATACGTTAAGGAAAAATCTGTTTTTGTTCGATTTATTCTTTAAAACTCAAATGATTATTGATGGATTAGAGTATTTGTAGGAACCTAGGAAAATTAATTAGCACAAAACGGTGGAAAATGTGCATGAGCTTAAGTATCAGTCATTTGGCTTTTCGTTAACCTACAATTTGAGCTCAACATTTTCGTTTAATGAACTTAATTTTTATATCTCAACAATATTAATAGAAGTATTTTCTATTTATTATTTTTTAAGTATTTTGTTTATGCTTATCCTTACTAATATTATAAATCGGAAAGTGAGTTTGTTTGTTTGTTCCACTTTCACGCTGTAACTACTAAACCGATTGCTTTCAATTTTTGCACACGTAAAGTTAAAAGTCCGGATTAAATAATAGGGTATTTTTTAACCCGGAAAAAATTGTTATTCCCGAGGAAAAAAAAGTAATGGTATAGATGGCGCTGTGTATATTGGTATATGTCACATAGGCTACTTTTTATCCTTTTATGACGCGAGCGAAGCCGCGGGTAAAAGCTAGTATGTAATAAGTAGTCGCGGAGAACCTAACGGGTAACCGGGGCTCCGGCTCGACGTGCAGGAGAAGGAACGGGGTGGTTTTTAGTCAGTAAGAGTCTGACACTCCCTCCCGCCTCACCCAGGCGGGGGCAGTCATTCGATGATTTTCCCCCCTTAAAAACAAAAAAAAAGTATGTAATAAGTATGATAGTTATACCACTACCTCTCATAACCTTATTGCAGCTTACCACCTACTATGTACATTTCTACACTACCCAAAGGATGACTGGCAGATAATGCTGTTCTGTTAGTATGAAGTCCTCCTTACGCAATAGGGTAGATGACTAATTTTTATTTTAATGTCCGTCTGGTAGATTATTTTAAAACATTAGACAATTATTTTTTATGTTTTTACAGAAACGAATACTTTCGACGATATTGATTTTAAATGTTGCGTGACATCACTTCTATGTACATTTTATACGTAGAAATGACGTTTTAGCCCCCACTCTGAAACTTTGATTCGTTATCTCTAAGTATCATATTATTATACATCAAAATAAAAAATACGTATCTAATATTTTTTCATTACCTAACTGACGGATAAATTGACTAACTGACGAATGTGTTGAACTGTTGAACTTAAATAAATAAAATTTTTTCACAAAATTATTTTAATATAAACAGCATTTTAGTACCAGAAAACATGAACAAAACAGTAAACGAAAGTCAGTCAAAGTATAAAGAAAAAAATTAAAGAATGGTAGAAAACAAACGACTGTCTGTCGCGACCCTCAGAAGCTAATCAAGTGACAAGTGACGCATGACGTCTGCAAGACTCATAAACTAAAGCCAGACATGACATTAATAATATCATAGTCCCTCCATGTTTATTAAATAAAAGAATTATGTTGCTATTTCTGGAACAATGAATGTCCAACGTCGAGGTTATTTTTAACTTAATGATGATGTAGAATTTGTATACATTTTTGATTGTACGTATTATTTTGAGCTCCATTACTTTTGTAGTTCTAAAATGAGTATATTATGACCTTTTTTTTATTCGTAAATTACCTATGTACGTTGTTTCTGAAAATATACTGTTACTAGTCTTCTGTTGGAATTTAGTCACCTATTTACGAAGGTAGTTAGTTTTGAAAATTGTTTCTGATATATTTGAGCCTTCTTTCTTGGAATAAGGTTCAAAATAAGTGATGTTTTGAAATTCTACCTTTTTACTGTACGTATATCACTAGGATAACATTTGCCCCGAAAATGAAAAACCGAATAATTAATTCTTCGAACGAACTATAGATAATAATCACAGATATACTAAACCAGAAAAACAATATTAAAAAGATTAAACCAAATCCCAAAGCGATAATCCCCTCAGATCCGATTTCGTCACAAATCTAAATCTACCCAACAAACTAATGAAGTCAAGACAAGTTATAAACGCAAACACAAATAAATGCGAGAGACAAAATCCAATCTTGTTTCAAATTACTAATTCAACACCAACGACCTGTTTACTCAAACCACGCCCACTCACATCAAAGTTACCAAGTTACGCAATGACAAATAAACACAAGTTAATTCATTATCCCAAGCACAAACTGCACCAAAGGGGCACAGCAGTTTGTTAGCACCAAACTTCACAGATGTTATAGGAGTAAACGAAACAGAAGATAGAAATTATGAGGCAAAAGACAAAGATGACGATAATAATGTAACGAGGTTAAAAGTTAAGCATCTAGGGACAGTTTTGAAGTGAAATGGGGAAAGGGTGTGCGAGAAAAATGTTGCTCAAGTAATTAGTTCAGGACCCGGTTTTAGAGTTTTTTGTTGTCTTGTAATTTTGAACGTAATCTCGACTTTGATAAACTAAAGTCTAACAACTTTTTCTACCAAAAATGTTACATCATCTCCGTGTAATTTTATTCCGGACTAAGCAAAGTTTTTTAATAAATTACACTGCAATGTATTGTGTGGATTTCAAAACAATGGAAGCGTAGATTGACATTTAATAAATACTCCGAGATATCAACCAATGATATTGAATTTCCTGTATGACAATACCATTTACATTATGTCAAAACGTTATTATGTAAAACTTAATTCATAGAATATTATTGCAGGGATTTTAGTTTCATTCAATACATTCGTTCTTTAGAAGATTTTGTTAAAGAAGCCGGGAAATGAGCAGACGGATCACCTGATGGTAATGAATCGGCGTCGCCCATTGATACCCGAAACACCAGAGGCTTTATACGTGCGGCCGGCGTTTTGGGGATTAGGAATTTGAGGATTGTTGGGGATTTTGGAGATAGAAGGCCTCCGGTAACCTCATTCGCACGACGGAACACAACGCAAGCTTTGTTTCACGTCGGTTTTCTGTGAGGCCGTGGTATCACTCCGGTCAAGCTAGCCCATTCGTGCCGAAAAATAGGTCTCCAAAACTTGAAACTTTTCACAGTTTCTCTTAAAAGCTAAAATTTTCAGCTACAATTTTGAATTTGTCCTATCCTCATCAAGCCTTCAACTAAGCACTATCTCATAAATTCAAACATCATCCATCTAGTCTAAAACTTCACCAAATGACAACTGCCAAAGTTTACCACATTAATCAGGAGGCCGTTAAAAATTTTGAAAGGAAATTACTTTAATAATTGTGACGAGACGATCCTTGCTATCCTCCGACCACCCGACGTTTCGGAAATTAGAAATGTAATTGGTGAAATTTTACTAGTTCGAAAATTTCTCAGAATACCAATGAATGATATTACTTATTATTGATAGATCTAATTATTTTAATATTATTGATGGGTTTGAAGAACTTTGTACTGAATATGTTGTGACTGTTTGTAATTTGGTGTTAATGAAATGGGAGAGGTCTTTGTACCATGTTCTAAAAATTTTGTTATGTCTTTTTTCAAGTCAGTTTTTTTTATAGCATAAGCCGGTAAACGAGCAGACTGATCACCTGTTGGTAAGCAATCGGCGTCGCCCATGGACATCTGGTACACCAGAGGCGTTACAAGTGCCTAACCGGCCTTTTTGAGGATTAGGAGTTTGAGAATCGTTGGGGATTCAGGAATTGGGGAGATTGGGGAAGAGGAGGGTAATTGGGCCTCTGGTAACCTCACTCACACGACGAAACACAACGCAAGCGTTGCTTCACGTCGGTTTTCTGTGAGGCCGTGGTATCACTCCGGTCGAGCCGGCCCATTCGTGCCGAAGCATGGCTCTCCCACACTTAAA